TTTTATTTTTCTGGGAAGATTATAGAATATAAAAGAAACAAATTTAGGAATGATTTTAATTTTTAATTGAGTTTTTAATACTATTTTGCCCTTATTCTTATGAAAAAAAAAGCCTAGAGAGAAACTAAAGAAATGGTTTGGTATTGATTAAAATTTTATTTTGATTTATTATAAAAGTTTTGGATGCACAATATGAACAGAAAGAAAATACAAATTGAGAATATGGTTTTATATAATAAAGAAGGCTTACCGATAATTTTAATTTTATTTTGATTGTTGGAGTGATATCCATTAAAGTTTTGCATTCGATTTGTTATATAATTTTGAATAGGCAAGTAAGCACTTTTTATCCTAGGGAATTATAAATACTATCCTGAATTATACATATATGCTACTTTATTATTATTAATATTTATTTCGACTGTAAATGCCACCATATCCATTTGGTGAAAATAAAAACAATTTGCCATATATTTGCCCGTTTATTTATGGGTATATACTTCGTCTACCTTATTCGACAGCTATGACTCCGTGACGCTGATGTTCTCCGGCATCGTGGGCTTTGGTCAGTACTGTGCGGCCAACACGGATCCCGATGGGGCCATGAAAATCGTGAAAATGCTGAATGAACTCTACACGGTCTTCGACGCGCTCACCGACTCTAAGCGAAACCTGAACGTGTACAAGGTGGGTGGGTGGGTCAAAGTTCAAATGCAAGTGCCACGAGCTGGCCATCAGCTCTCGGGAATGGCCACATAATTACACATTTTACCTGGCCACAAAAACGATGCAATTCCGTCCCCGGGTCAGCTCTCAATTTGGCCAATACACACAAGTATAGTAGAGACCTTAAAGGACTCATTGCCATGTCTGTGCTTTCAGGTGGAAACGGTTGGCGATAAGTACATGGCCGTTTCCGGGCTTCCCGACCACTGCGAAGATCATGCCAAGTGCATGGCACGGGTGGCCCTGGATATGATGGACATGGCCAAGAACGTCAAAATGGGCTCCAATCCAGTGGTGAGTGTATCATATTATTATCACTTCTGTAAACTCAGATAATACAATAAGACCAACATTACCTAAGAAGTATTAGAATTACCTACATTTATAAAGGTGAGAAAAATATTATAAGACCAAAATTACATAAAAAGTATTAAAATTACCTAGAATAAATAGCTTAATTTGATATATTTTAGGCATTTTTGATTTTCGTGCGTTTCCTGGGCTTATAATCCTCCATTAATCCTTTTTTGTTTGGGTTTTGACATGTGGTTCAATTTCGGAAAAAGTCAATTTTAAATATTCAAATATTACCAAAACATGATAATTCCATAATCTGAATTTATTTTTTTTTAATTTGATCGAATCTAAGTTGATTGCTGACCCTTATCCGTTAGAAAAAACAGTCTGCAAGAAAAATAAATCTTTGTGTAAGCTTTCTTAATATGACAAAATTTGTCTTAAAATCCTGAAAAACAAACAACAATATTTCTTGAATTTATAAGGCATTTTATGTAGTATGCTATTGCTTTCTGAAGCAAATTTCACCTCTAGGTCTTCTAGTTTAACAAAAGGAAAACTCGCTAAGTTCCCCAGCAATTGTATTTCAATCTGGTTCTCTCGCTTTTTATCACATCTCTCCTTTTTCTGAGCAACAAAAATGCATTACACAACTAACAACTTATGTTCAAGTTGCTCAAGTGCCCACGGAGGGGGGTGAAAAATGTGGGGGTTTTTCTTTCCGTCACTCTAATTGTGCGCATAGAAAGTACTATGGTTGGAAAATTGTCTTGCTCGTATTTTTGTTCGTTCGTGTGAGCATGCAAGTTTGCGAATGCTCGCGCAATTTTTTTTTGCTGAACGCACCATTCGCCGTTTGCCATTTTGAGCAACAGCAACTCAATGGCGCATAAATTTTAATGTCCATCCCCGCAACCCCCTGATCGCCTGATCTCTCTTAACCCTCTACTGCCCCGAATTGAGTGGCAAGTGCATGTAAAATATTAACAACTCGTGACAGCAGGGCAAGTGCGAAAACAGTTCATTTAACAAAGTTTCACTGCGAAACAAGGCGAGGGCGCAGCAAAGTTTTAGATAGGAAACTGCGAAAATAGCTAAAATTAATTCAAAATTGATGACACACAATGTCAAAGGACGCAGCACGGACCATGGTACATAGTACATGGTCTCGGATCCTTGCCAGTGGCCACTTGACCGTCAACTGTCACCAGAGACGTTGAAACTTGGCCGAGGATGATGGTACAAGACCTCCTGCCTGCTGTTACTATCTCTTTTTTTTTTTTTTTTTTTTTGGCTTAAACACTTTTGCTTTGAGTGCTCAGGCTTAAAATACACTGCACACATGCAGGGCCACAGATATACATATGGCAAAGGGGCAAAGAAAGGGGGCGGGACCGGGGCCGGAAGAGGTAGTGGCTGATCCGCAAGATGAAGCGAGGACGAGGACAAGAACGAGTGTGAGGATGAGGATGCGGATGCCCCACTTGATGGCATCCTTCACAATTACAGCATTGTACGTGTGGACAATGCTTGTGGCTTGTCAGTCACTTTTTGCACATGTCTTGGCATCTGTGTATATATTAGGGTAACTCGGTGAGGGAGGTGGGAAAAACAACTGTTAATAAAGCAATAATACAATAAAAAATCTACGTTTAAAACCTAGAACAAGGTGTAATTTTAAAGTTAGTTTTCTTGAAATATATAATAATAATAATCATTTTTCTTTTACTAGTACTTAGTTGGGAATTATAAGTCCACCAAAACATAACATTTACGCAGACTTGGCGAGTGTTATTTAATATATAATAAGTGGTTTGTTTATATATTGCATTAAACGTTAAATGTTGCCTTTGTGTGAGGTATGTTGCATGTTTGCAGGCATATGTATAAAAAATGGATATTGTAAGTGGGATCAACACTTTCGTTTGTAAGGAGTTTTAGTTTGATTACAGTTAAGAAAAAACATTTATATTGTGAAAATAAAAAGTTCCATCTCTTATAACGTTAATATTGAATATAAACATCTATATTATATTATATTATACATAAATATAAGAGAACTTCTAATTTACTGCTCGTCATTTATAAAACTATTTCCCAGGCCACCCTACCGTAGATATATTCCAGTATTTGAGTACTTGTGTCAAAACTACCCACTCAAACGGAGAACTCCGAATGGGACTCGTGTCTCCTGGCCCTATTGTCAGAATTGTTGTTTTTCTGTTGCTCAAATTCCATTACCTTATCGTCTTTTCCTCAGAAGAAACTCTTCTTGTGGTCCTGGCATCATACATCTGTTTCTGCCACCATAAGCTCCTTCAGTTCTCTTTTCTCCAATTCCATCTAGCCTCGCCGTAACTGCAGTCAAGTTTTTGTGGTAGACAGTATTTCATATTTGACTGATTGCTTTTGGTAATTCTGAGGGAAACCCTCCTCCCAGTTTGTGCGGGCAAAAACGGAGAGGAATTCGAGAATCGAGTCAACGTTTGATAGATCGCTCGAAATGCAATTAACAAGCGCCACGGGCTGGGAATAGCAAAAACTGGGACACGACATCGGAGCCTGTTGCATGGCCCTATCCCAGGACTATCCCCCCACAATACCCCACAAAATCCCCCCTCGCCGCCACTGGCGTCATTTTGCGCTTCATTAAATCCTGGTAAAAAGCAGCAGCAGCTAGTCACTTCCCCCCCACACACACCGACCCCTGCGTTCATGAAGCCAATTATACCGATGTTTTTCTTCATGCAAAAAATTTGTTCAGCTCCCCCGCTTTACCGCTTTTCCTGACAGTTTTTCTGAACTCTTTGTTGGCTACTTCCTGTGCTTGCAGTCCATAAATATTGATTCGGCTTTCAGCAAAAACTTTCTGCACTTGCTGTGTATTTTATACACTCAAGGGCGAGGCGAGGAAAATCATTCTCCTAACTGCCATTCATCTTGGCTTGTGTTTAAAATAAACTAGCAATTTTCCAGAACTAGAATGGATTTTATTTTATGACCCGAAGCAGTTTCTGGTCTGATGTTGAGATATTTAATTGGGGGAAATGTTTGGGAATACAAACTGAAAAAGAAACATTACTTTTATGTCTTTGGTGTTTCTAATTCCTTAAGGCTTTAATAAATATTTGTATTAGTTATGAAAAGAATATAAGGCTTTAAAAATTCTTTTACAAAATAGAAAACATCAATAAATACTTGTTTTTACAATGGCATACCAATACTCAAAACTAATAATAAAATTATACAAAAATATTTGGTACTATCCAAACAAAACGCTTTCTGAATGCAAGAAATTTTATCCAGTTTCTTCATTACTTAACCAAAGAAAGTTGAGTGATTGACTTGTGTTCGAGGCTCCCTGCTGAATGAATCATTCATCAGCATTGCACTGCATTGATGTGATTTGATTGAGTTTTGCAAAATTCTTTCTCGGTTCAACTTTGTGCACTTTAGGCTTTTGGAAGTTTGTGTAGTTTTCGCTTATCGCACCCCGCCGTTTTGGCAATTAGTTTTATGTAATGTTTTTCTGGTAATTACAACTTTCGTCCTTCGTTTTTATCTCAGAACTGTTGGCAGTTTACCCATTTGCACATATTCCCTTGGCTCTGCATTTTTCCCAAGCCCCGAACTTTTCTTTTCCCATTTGGATTTCAGCATCGTCACCTACTAACAAGGACCTTTGGTGGGTGTACCATGAGGTTGGGAGTTTGTGATCTTTCTCTTTGCTCGCCGCTCATTTCGTTTTAAATTTAATTAAAGAAAACTTTTTCCTACTGCTTCTGCAAGTTTTTGGAAAGTAATTGTGGCAACTTTCGCTTGGTTTTTCCAGCTATAGTACATTGCGTTGTGGTTGGCAACTTTTCGGGGGTGTTGACGATGGGACTCTAGCCGGCGAAAGTTTATTAGCGCAATGAAGTGCCCTATTTAATATCTTGCGAAGCCTGATAAGTTCTCTTACAAGTTCAGATTATTAATTTAGCCGAGGTCCGATTTATTTTCTAGATAAACCCTCTTACAAATTCTAAGTTTATTAATTCAGTTTGTTTGGTCCTTGTTTTTCCAGCAAATCACCATTGGCATCCACTCCGGCGAAGTGGTGACCGGTGTGATTGGCAACCGAGTGCCACGCTACTGTCTTTTCGGCAATACGGTCAACTTAACCAGCCGAACGGAGACTACAGGCGTTCCCGGTCGCATCAATGTCAGCGAGGAAACGTATCGGTGAGTGCTAGATTTTGGATTTTGGCTTAAGGGCTATCTGGGTTCGCCGGGCAGGAAAATTGGCGAAAAATCGGGATCGATATCCGGCGGACAGGCTGCCACGTAAGCGGCCGCGGCCGCATTCTTGGCCTCCTCCGTATAAGCCCCATCTCCGGTGGCCACGAATGCGGCTAAAGCGGCCTTTTCCGGATCCGTAACAGCTTGTAACAGCTGCACATGGTTTTCACTTTCATCCTCACTTTCTCCCGCACTGCTAATGGTTTCCATTCGGGGCATCACTTCCCCCAGTTTGCATCTGGTTGCTGGTTTTCCTTGATCCCCATTCTGGTCGTCCTCCAAATCCTGGGCCTCGGGTCCTTCCAGTTCCTCAGTGAGATCGATATAGCGTTGCAGGCGTTTTGGCAGCCTCAACGTGTCTATGCCGTTGGGCAGTTGATTATGCTCCCGCAGCACATCGCGAATGCAGCAGCTGAAAATTGCGTTCAAAAGATTAGGTTAAATTGAGTACATATAAAATCTTTAATATAAGGAAAATTCTTTAAAAAAATATATAATAGTTGCAAATTTGCAAAATTCTATAAAAATAATAGGTCAGTTTGCCTACACTCAGAAAACAAAACTCCATGCTTTAAGAATGACGAACTACGGATGAGCCTACATATATACATATATCATTCTTCAATGTTATTGTTTTCATATTACTTAATGAGACTTTGGTGTGCAGCAAGCAGTTAAAGCATTTAAAGCCTTGAGCAATGGTTTTCTAAAGATATGTCAGTAAAACCCAAATCAGAGATAACAATTTTTTATACGAAGTTTTATTAACTATTTGCAAATATAATTTAAGAAAATGGTATTATGGCGGTGAAGAAAAAAAAATTTTTCTTGAAGTTGAAAGTTTGAAAATAGTTCTCTGGCTTCAAGTTTTTCAAAATGCTCAGGAATTTTGGTATATTTTCTCGCCTTAGGCAATGCTCCTGTCATTCTTAGCGGGATATTTTTTAATTTAATTTAAGTTTCACACAATAAGCTCATACGGCAAACAAAAAAATCTTCACAGCGAGCAAAGTTCATATACTTAAAACTTTTCTCGTGAGTGAAAGGCAGAAAAAGCGAAAAAAGAGTGCGAATGCGGGCAGGAACTTTCACTAAAGTTGACTGCAGAACTAGAGGAAGAAGTTAAAGTAGCGGATATTGGTAGCGGATTCTTTTGGGCCCTTCCACTTAGAGGCGCAGTGAAAGCTTTCGGAAAAGTTTGCCAGTATGTGAAGCCGGCTCTAAAGTGGCTTTTTGATAACTTGTCCAAAATTATTCGGGTAAGTAACGACCCTCAAATTGGCGGTTAAAAAAACATAGAGTCCCTAGCAACATGCTAATCGGTTTCAGGGGAGATCCATTCAGGAACTCCGCAGATTATGTTACTGTTAATTTGTCCTGCCAAGTTTCTCTGTTCTGGCAATTTTATGGGTTACGAAAAACTCGACCAATCAATAAAGCAAGCTGACACCGCCCAGGGAAAAAAAGAAGCCACTGAGCAGTCGTAAATAGAGGAACAAAAAGCGTTGCCTACTTGTGGGCGCCGGAAGGCGGGATAACAGGGCGTATGCGCAATGTATTCGCTTATATTGGCAATCGTCACATTTTGGCTCGGAGACTCTGCTTTTTAGGGTCAATGTGTAATGTAATGCATGCATTCAGTGCGGGTGCGAAAAAGATTTGCATAAATTGAAGTCACAAAATGGCTGGCTAGAGAGCCAAAAGGAAGTGTCACAGACCATATAAATCAAAAGCAAAAACCCTCATTTCAAAAACCATCTGAGCTGTACTTGAAGTCTCGACGAGTGGACGCCAACGCAATTGCAAATACAGTGAAAAGTGGCATCTAAAGAAAAATACCGAGCTTACAAAAATAATACATAATAAACAAGAAAGAAAGCAAACTTCGGCAAGCCGAAGTTCATATACCCTTGCAGCTATTGCAAGAATTAAACATTTTTGAAAACATTAAAATTATAATTTACTTGCGTATAAGTTTAAAAACATTGAAGCTATGATGATTTGCAGCTCAATTATTTGATAGTTATTTTATATATTTTTATTGTTCCTATGGGAGCTATATGATATAGTCGTCCGACTTTGATGAAATTTAAACCGTAAATCGAAAATATTTAACCATTACTAAATGTCGAAGAACTAAACAAAAAATTAAAAAACAGAAAAGTTATAAATTTTTTTCATTTATTTTTCCGATTGTTCCTATGGGAGCTATATGCTATAGTCGTCCGATTTTGATGAAATTTTTACCATAATTCTGAAATATTTAACCATTGCTTTATGTCGAAGAACAAAACAAAAAATTAAAAAACAGCAAAGTTATAATTTTTTTCAATTATTTTTCCGATTGTTCCTATGGGAGCTATATGCTATAGTCGTCCGATCCGGCTCGTTCCGACTTATATACTACCTGCAATAGAAAGACAACTTTTGGGAAAGTTTCATGCAGATAGCTTTAAAACTGAGAGACTAGTTTGCATATAAACGGACGGACAGACGGACAGACGGACAGACGGACATGGCTAGATCGACTCGCCTAGTGATGCTGATCAAGAATATATATACTTTATAGGGTCGGAGATGTCTCCTTCACTGCGTTGCAAACTTCTGACTGAAATTATAATACCCTCTGCAAGGGTATAAAAATTCCCAACATTTTTGTTTTTAATTTATGGTTTTAAAATTTCTTAATGTTGATTTTGGAAATAAGACTATGGATTATTATTATTAACTTAATATTCACATAAATCTGTTTAACTTTCGGAAGTCACTGGTACTTTAATTAAAAATTGTATTATGATTATAGTTAAGAAAACCAGCAAATGATGTCTTATAATTCCGAGTAAAACTATAGCTTTTCAGAATATAAATCTCATGTAACTTTCTTGTTCCTCTACCAAAGTTGACCTGTGGAAAATGCAGGTCAAGAGCGCGAGTTTTCACAGCGCAAACATTGGCCAGGGGAAAACAAACTGGCAAAAAAGCTGGAAAACGGGTTCCCAGCTGAAACGAGAGCCAGAGTCAATGGACATTTATGTGACACGTGAGCGGAGGCAAATATATTTATATATTTGTGTGCCCGGGTCAGCGAGTGCTGGGCAAATAAATGAGACATTTGTATATAAGCTGGAACCCCGCATATAGGGCTCCGCATATGAACCTTATCAATGACAGATGTCAACTTATCGAATTAAAAGGGCTCCCACAAGAAACTTCTTGACTAAACACCGATCAAAGTAGCAAAGAATTTCGCATCGATTTAATTCATTAAGTTGGCTGACATTTGACTACATTGTGACCAAGTCAGTGGAGCGAGTGGGAAAGTTTCGAACTCGACTTTGATAGAACGTATGAAAGAAGGGCGAAACTTGCGTTAAGCCACATGACAAAGGCGACAGGACGAGGGAAACTTGTCAACTTAAGGCACAGACAGTCTGTCAGTTTGTCAGCCAGTCAGGTTTTGCTCCTGTCTTATGCTTATTTCATTTTTCGGGCTTATCGCCGAATTGTCTGTGGATTGCCCCGTAGAAAGTTAAGCAAGCGTGGCGGACCTAAGCCAAAGTAATTGAATAAAAAAGTAAAACTTATTATGCTGTCAGACTCCATTCACCCTGCCCCAATCTCTTTTTCCGGCCAAACGACGTGGGCAGCACATTGTTAGTCACAAAGTCAAGTGTTCGGAGAAGTTTCATTCCAGCCCTAACCCCTGAGAATATGGCAAAGCTTAAGGTTGATAATTACCGGCATAAGTGACGAAGACTGGGCACTCCGTAGACCTGCTCCTTGCCAATAATCTTGTCCATCAGCAGGCGGCCATAGCGATCGAAGAACATTTCCCTTCGGGAAGCGTATAAAAGGGGCTGAAACGGACAGGAATAATATTTCTAATTAAAACATGTAAACAAAAACAACCAGTCTGGAAAGAAGTGTATAATATAACAAATTTCGTTTTTGAAGCTCATGACTTTTTTTGGTATACATTTTGTATTGCTTGTGAATTGAATATGAAATTAACAATAACCAGCCAGGAAGGAAATATTTCATTAAGCAACTGTGTCTTAACGTGTAAAAGAAAATCAAGTATAAAACTATCTTATGAAATATAGGATTTTGTTAAAGCAAAAAAAAAGAAGAACTTGCTGCAAATATTACACAATTTTTTTAATTATAGTTCCTGAAGCTAATAACTAATTTCGGTTTACGTTTTATTAACCAAAGTATAATACAACCATTTTTTTTGCTTTCCCTGAGTATATACTTTCTACATTTCCCATTAAATGGCAACTTTGTTCATTACACATTTAATGCACTCACCTTAAAGGGCATCTCAATCATGACAACATTGCGCAGCAGAATCTTGAGGCACATGACCAGTTCGAAGCTGTAATTGCGGCCATCCTCGATGAGTTTGTCAAGCAGCGCGATAATTACGGAGGCGCCACCGTCCGGCGGCTGTGGTGCGGCACCATATCTGCAACGGATTCAAAGCGGAGGCGTGGGCTGTCAGAGGGGCGTGGCTGCGGTTGCAGTGGGTAACTGTTTGCAAATGAGATACAAGCTTCCAGCACGTAGTTGGTTTGCTTGTGGTCAATGCAAAAGGGTCGGAGTTCGGAGGTCGAAGGTCGGTGGGGCGGCAATAAATGCTAGATGTCCCGATAAACACAATGTACAAATGAAATAATGAGCAGACACGACTCGCGGTTGTGTCAGATGCACACAAGTACACAGGCAGAGATACACACATGTGCACTTAGAGAATTGCATATTACAAAATTTAATAAAAGTAATAAAATAATAAACCATAAAATTCAATTTTTAGACCAATTAAATAAATTTAAACAATGTTAATACTTGTTCATCAAAATTAAAACCTTCTTAAGTCAAAAACTTAGTACCCAGAATTTCTTTAACTGCATTCAGACAGAGCTGACTGAATGGCAAATGAAGTGCAAAGTGCGAATGGCAAATGGCGCCGGCAGTGTTGTCACTTTTTAAATTGAAAATGTTTGTCACAAATATCCCTTCGCCCGCATTTGCATTTCTCGTTTTGTAATTGTAATTTATATGTTTCTCTTATTTATTTTGTGTTTAACCCGACGCGCCGTCATATAAATATTATCTTTTTCAAACCAGTGAAACAATTTGGCAGTGAAAAAAGTAAAAGGCGAAAATCGAGTACGTCTCACCGCATTCATTTGCATATTTTATGGCCAATATGAAATGAAAATGCAGCAAAGCGAAATACGAAAGGCAAATTAAAACACACAAAAGCGAAACAATATCGAAAATTTATGGCCGCATCAGCATCAGTAACTCAAAAAAAAACAGAACAGAACAGAAGCCGCACCTGAATCAAAATCAGTTGAGGCGGAAAGGCGATGAAGCAGAAACAGAAATGGAAATCCATAGCAAAAACTGGAAAAGCTCCGGGGAAAAGTGGGGGGGGAAATCGGGGGGTATGGGTCAGTAGGGAATTGGCAAGCCAAACTCAAACATTTGCCATCAATCGAAGCCACTGCAGTTGCAATTTGCTCGGTGCAATCAGCACAGCTGGCGGGAATCTCAATACAAATGCCGAATCGGCAGCTTGCCGCCTCCTCATAATGCGCATTCCTTGCGCATTACGCCCCCTTATGAGGAGAGGAATTCACTGTTGATTTCGCCAGTTTACAAAGGGGCAAAAATGTTTTAAATTTATACATGGCGCGGGGAATTCCCCAAAAAATTATTTGGAATTTCATTTGGTAGCGATATTGAAGGCATTTTTTCGCCGTAGGCCTTGTAAACGCAGTTCAAAATTAAATTGTGACTTTTACAAGGTCAAGTACGGTAAAAAGCATGTAAAAAGAGGTTCTAGAAGAAAAGAAACAGAAACTACTTTAATAAAAAGCCCAACAAATTTTAAAAAAATATGTGTTTTAATATAAATAAAATTGAAAGCAACAAAAAAAAGAAAACTAAGAAAAACATAATAATAACATAACAGAACAATTTACAAGAATTCATGAAACCTATTAATCATGAAAATCTATTAATCAATAATCAATTCCAATATAGTTTTTTAATTTGTCGTTCACATCTTGAAAACAAACTAAAATCTTAAATCTTCCACCGAAAAAATAAAAATGCTTACGCTATATAAAAAGTTTTAATAACTGTCTAGAAAAACGCCATCAAATATGCCACTCAAGCCGAAGAACCATCGGAAATTGAATAATTTTTGTGAAAATCTCGATTTAATGAAATCCCAGCTGCCGCCGACATGAAGCTTTGACGGCTGAGCATCTCAGCCGGGACTTGCTGACAGAAACTTTGTTGTGACTCGCCTTTTTGGCCTGCAATCAATACTCCCATTTTATGCAAAGCGTCCTTTTTGGCGCTGCATCAAAAATTGAAAGCGATGGCAAACACATGGATGGGCGGAAGGGGGCGTGGCCGTTGCAATATCAAGTTAGGAAACAATAAATTGGCGGGACGGCGAGAGTCAAGGACGACGGACGAAGGACCATAGCAAGTGGAAACTGCAGGCGTTTACATATAAAATTATGAATCTCGGCTGAGAACCCGAGTGCATGCTCGTAACTTTTTTACAAGCTGCTTTTTGGACCATGAGACTCGACGGAGACGACCGACCGCCTTGTGATGCAAATTCGCTTTGGCAGCGACTTTCAAATTTAATGATAATTTTCCTTTTATTTTCTCTATCTTCTCCTTGGGTTTTCCTCGCCTTCGTTTTCTTGTGGCTTTGTGAGCACTTGCTTATGCTAAGCGTCTTGTATTTTATGTTGCATACATTGCGGCGCCGCCAAGTGGCGACCGCTTTTGCATATTTCTCGCTAATTGAAGTGGCAGTCGCTTTTCCATCCTCCCCGCAAGTCCTCTTCCTCGAGATACTTACCTCAGCAGTATGAGCAGCAGTTCGGGAGCATTCGCCTGCAGGGCAATGCGAAGGGGCGAGGATTTGCCACACGATTCAATGGGGACGTCAATGAATCTGCAAAAAAATAAGAACCGGATTCAGTAAAGTCAGTTTCAAAGAGCCAGAAAGTTACGTTTAGACCACTCTTTGTGGTTGCTTTAATGGGCGACAAGCATCAAAATAGGCTTCGCACATTAGCAGGACTCACAAGGACTAAGAAAATGAGCCTGGGCGAGTGCCAGTCCTCAATTAAGTTGTTCGCTTGTTGCTCATTTCCCCTTCCATCAGAAAAAAAAATAACAGAGAAAAAAATACGTTTTATAACTAGAACTTTATTTAAAATAAACAGGCATTCGGTTTTTAAATAATCCTTCGCAAGTTTTTTTTATTTAAAAGTAAGAGTCAGTTCATTTAATTAAAAGCCATAATGTTTGTTTTATATTTCAATCTTATATTGCTTAAATATAATAATAAAAATGTAATATTAGTTCTTCTAATTTTCAGCAAATTTCTTTTACTTTGAAATGGCAAATTGCTATTTGCTTGTGAACTTAATCTTCCTGTTTTTGCCATCTTAACATTGCATATACGTAATGTATTGTGTGAGTGTAGGGCGTTTGTCTCCATTCAGGCATTAGCATGTACATTGCACTTAAAGCACATTTGCGACACAGCACACCCACACAAACAGAGGGCTTTTATGTCTACGCATAAAAGTAGGCAAATAAAAGAGCAAAAACCACAATAAACCGGAAGTAACCCACACACGAGCAGGATAAGGGCATTTTGAGCCAACATCCACACACTGACAGCTTGCAAAATTGGCTTGTCAAATTCATTTGCGTTTTATTGGCAGCTATAAAAGCGAGTTTTCTGCTAGAATCAAGACATTCCCCAATCGCAACCTCAATGTCCTTATATAACACCTCAAGTCAACGAATATTTGCCTCCTAAATCAAAGATTAACACTTTAACTACTGAGGGGCTGACAAATCAAATTTTTGTATCTAACGGTCTGCTTAGCGGAGTATTAGCTGGGACTTAATGTCAATGTCATTGCTGTACAGTGTATACTTTTCTTTAAGCCTAGTTAAAGTTTAAAAGCTTTCAATTTGTTAAGCTTTCAAGTTTTAAGCCTTTCGTAAGGATTTAAATTGTTGCCAGTGCCATAAAGTGAGCAGGCTGACTAGCAGTGGAATAATGAATATAGATTTTTTAAGCTGTGCAATGACTGATTGCAATAATGAATAAAATATGATATTTAACTTTCATCTTCAATAATTTAAAACTGTTAGGCATTTTAACGTATATTTAAGCATAGTGTATTTGTACACATATTTTTCTTAAAAAGCTGCTTAACTTATAATAATTTAGGGAATGACAAATCAACTATAGGTATTTTAAAATCTACAAAAGTAAAGTTTAATAAAATCCTGTGCTTTATGCAGATTAATAGATAAATGCATTACAAAATGACGATGATTTCTAATTGCAAAGGTATTCAGCCTTAATTTCATTTTTGTTCAAGAATGTTCACTGTGCTTGGAAAACTTTACCAATATGCTGCTTCAGCACTGATTTATGCAGCTCCAACGGCATTTGTCCGAAACGTTTATTGTCACATTGCTTGTTTTTCACAGCTCCCCTCACTCACACCCACATATGCACACATGCGGGGTCCTCCATCAAACACACACACACACATACTTTTTACCCATTAACGCTTATTCATGACTTTGGCTGCTGTATTGCGAGAGGGCATCATAAATGTCGTCTTAATGTTTGCCAGTCAGTTTTTTTTTTGCCTTCTGTTTGTTTAAGAAGCGCAAACAGTCAACTAGGCAATGGTGTGAGTGTGTATCTGAGGGGGGCGGGATGTATTTGTATCTGGATTAGTGGGCGTGGTGGAATTGAGAATGCTTTTGTGCGCTTATTACACGCATTTTTGACTTTAATCCTCCGGAGTGCTGGCGAACAAAGCCGAAATAACAAAAGGTTTACATCGCTGCCTGTTGGTTTTCAGCTTATCGCATCAGAGACACCCACACACCCATACACACACATATGCATGTACGGAAAAGGCTGAAAATGGGAAAACCCCTCAGCAGGCAAGCTGCAAATGAAAATCTTAATTATACATGACACCAGCAGAAGTGAGAGAAAAGCAACCGCCAGTGATTGAGCGCCATTCTCTATGCGAGTGTATACTCGCCATCTTTCACTCAATTATGGCCAGTACACACACAACATATACACCTAGACAGCGCCACAACAATGGCTGATGTATTAATTTAATTAAAATCCTTTCATTTCTCTGGTTACTCCTCATTTAGCCCACTGTGCTCTTGTACTCCCAGGGGTTATTTATAGTATCTTATTGTCACCAAAAACATTATTACTATGGGGGAAAACTACTGCTGTTAGTAAGTAAATATCTATTTCTAAAGCTCTTAAAAACAGATATTTGCTTTGAGTTGAGTTCGTAAATAACATACATTTTAGTCCCCAAAAACTACAGAAACTTTAAAACGTTCATTTAAATTTAAAGTGATAACCCAATACTATAAAAAATAATAATTTTATTAATACATTTTTTTTAACAAAGAAAATGTTTGAAGCTTCCAAATTATTTTGTAATGCAAGGGAATAAAACGGTTTTTTTTTGCTTTTGTAAAAACAAAGACGACTTAAAAGTCGAGCTACAAAGGTAATAAAAAAATCTGTTCCGGGGAATAGAGAGTTCGGCATGTCACCTCGCCAACTATCCAATTAACCCGGCTTGTGTGAAAATTGCTAGAGGCAGCAAAAGAGCGTGACACATGAAAGCCAAGCGAAGAAAGTAGAGAAAGTAGAAGTGAAAGCAGCGAAAGTCAAAGCGGGCAAGGATGAGGACTCACCTAAGCTGTCGCTCCTGTTCGAAACGCGGAATCCAGACGGGCAATGTGAGCTGCTCGCGTGTGGCATGCTTCAGAAAGTAAACCATGGCCCGGACATTCTCGTGCTGCAACAAAGGTGTTACATGGGGGTCCATCGCAAAATGGAGAAAAGGGGCCATCCAAAGGGGGCTGTCAGTTCTCACCTGATCCTGGAAGTCACTCCGCCAGCCGGCGATGAAGTGCGGAGCATGTGGTCCAAACAGGGCGCCCAGAAAAATCCGCTCATATGTCTTTTCGCACTCATAAATGGCCACTGAAATGAGTCAAAAATATTAAAATATTTTGTTAATCAGTAATTCGTGCTAAAGGATATGTAAGATAATATTATAGGTCATGAAGCAACTTTTTATTGCTTTAATTTCCACGGAGATAAAATGTTGTTAGTTTTTGTAATTTAATAATATAATCATTGAGGTATAACCAATATTACAAAACTAGAGTTCATAATCAACTTTAAGAAGTAAAATTAAAAAAAAAGTATATGTAACATGGAAAATATTTATGTTTAATATAACATCATCTGATTAAAGATAAATTTATCGTCATGTTAAAAAACTAAAATACCAAACAATTACCCTTTTTATACCCTTGCAGAGGGTATTATAATTTCAGTCAGAAGTTTGCAACGCAGTGAAGGAGACATCTCCGACCCTATAAAGTATATATATTCTTGATCAGCATCACTAGGCGAGTCGATCTAGCCATGTCCGTCTGTCCGTCCGTCTGTCCGTCCGTCTGTCCGTCTGTCCGTCTGTCCGTCCGTTTATATGCAAACTAGTCTCTCAGTTTTAAAGCTATCTGCATGAAACTTTCCCAAAAGTTGTCTTTCTATTGCAGGTAGTATATAAGTCGGAACGAGCCGGATCGGACGACTATAGCATATAGCTCCCATAGGAACAATCGGAAAAATAAATGAAAAAAAATTATAAATTTTCTGTTTTTTAATTTTTTGTTTAGTTCTTCGACATTTAGTAATGGTTAAATATTTTCGATTTACGGTTTAAATTTCTTCAAAGTCGGACGACTATATCATATAGCTAATAGCAAATATAGCAAATAGGAACAATCGGAGAAATAAATGAAAAAATATTATAACTTTTCTGTTTTTTAATTTTTTGTTTAGTTCTTCGACATTTAGTAATGGTTAAATATTTCCAATTTACGGTTTAAGTTTCATCAAAGTCGGACGACTATATCATATAGCTCCCAATAAAAATATATAAAATAACTATCAAATAATTGAGCTGCAAATCATCATAGCTTCAATGTTTTTAAACTTATACGCAAGTAAATTATAATTTTAATGTTTTCAAAAATGTTTAATTCTTGCAATAGCTGCAAGGGTATATGAACTTCGGCTTGCCGAAGTTTGCTTTCTTTCTTGTTTTGTTTGTTTAATTACTGCACTTTGTATTGAGGGCTGCAGGAAAAGCGGTTGAATAATGTCATCAAATCGCAGCGGCAGCAGCCATAAAAAAACTAATTATGTGGCTGCACTTGTTGCTGCTTTCCCGGTTTTCAGCACTTACTTTTCGTTTTCTTTGAGTTTTTTGGCACAGTACAGAAATGAAGTCAGCGGAAAACGGAAACTGGCCAAAATGTTTGCAGCCAACAAATGGAAAAGGGTCGAAAAACACAGGCTCAGCCGCAAAGCAGTGAGGACAGAACAAACAAGGAGCAAGTTATATTGCACACGAGTCCAAAGATCCCATAACAGAGGCATGCCATTAATTTCTGGCACTTTTCTCCGCTCGCAAAAGTTTATGCAGCCTTTTAATTAGAGACAGAGCCAGTATATATACGCCCCAAATAACTTGCAACACTTTAAGGCACTTAACAAGTTTTACGATGCAGCAACAACAGAGCAACAAAACAACATTAGCAGCACTTTCTCTTAACGCAATTAGCAGAAACGCGTGATTAAAGTTAAAACTGCCTGCCAGCCTGCTTATAGGGATAAAATTCATTAAAGTATGCAAAGCAAACAGCCACGCCCCAAACGCCCACACACACAGCACAGGAGAGTCGCACCACATACATATGCATATGCATATGCATATAAATTAAATTATTTAGTTGGGCTGAGTTTACTTACGCAGCAGTTGAACGACCACCTCCGAGTCCCGAACTCCCCAATCCCAGCAGGTGCGCAGCCCGATGTAAAGGATGTTGTGATACTTGCCCATGAGGCACACCTGAAGGACATGTAAAAAAAGTGGGGCAAAGGGGTTAAAACCTCAAAGAAGCATTACTTTTTAAATTGCAATATGGCAAGTAGTTACTAAAGTACTTTGTTTAAAAATAGTAATTAAAGTAAGAAGTTTCATTTACCTATGTACGTCTAATGTACAAAAATATATCAAAAATATATTAAAAAGAAAGCCTTCCTTTTTTACAAAAATATACTTTTCCAATTGGCCTATTGAGTTATTTAAAGAGAAAGTTAAAGTTACTTACCGCTAACTACACTTATTGGATTTTTCGCTTATTAACTTGAATTCAACTTTTTGAAAATTTAGATTTAGTTTAGTTTAGTTTAGATTTTTACGAATTATATATTTTTGAAAAGAAAAAACAAAAAAAGCTTAACAAAATGTTCCCTTTTTATACCCTTGCAGAGGGTATTATAATTTCAGTCAGAAGTTTGCAACGCAGTGAAGGAGACATCTCCGACCCTATAAAGTATATATATTCTTGATCAGCATCACTAGGCGAGTCGATCTAGCCATGTCCGTCTGTCCGTCTGTCCGTCCGTCTGTCCGTCCGTCTGTCCGTCTGTCCGTCTGTCCGTCTGTCCGTCCGTTTATATGCAAACTAGTCTTTCAGTTTTAAAGCTATCTGCATGAAACTTTCCCAAAAGTTGTCTTTCTATTGCAGGTAGTATATAAGTCGGAACGAGCCGGATCGGACGACTATAGCATATAGCTCCCATAGGAACAATCGGAAAAATAAATGAAAAAAAATTATAACTTTGCTGTTTTTTAATTTTTTGTTTAGTTCTTCGACATATAGCAATAGTTATATATTTCAGAATTATGGTTTAAATTTCATCAAAATCGGACGACTATAGCATATAGCCCCCATAGGAACAATCGGAAAAATAATTGAAAAAAAATTATAACTTTGCTGTTTTTTAATTTTTTGTTTTGTTCTTCGACATAAAGCAATGGTTAAATATTTCAGAATTATGGTAAAAATTTCATCAAAATCGGACGACTATAGCATATAGCTCCCATAGGAACAATCGGAGAAATAAATGAAAAAAAATTATAACTTTTCTGTTTTTTAATTTTTTGTTTAGTTCTTCGACATTTAGTAATGGTTAAATATTTCCAATTTACGGTTTAAGTTTCATCAAAGTCGGACGACTATATCATATAGCTCCCATAGGAACAATAAAAATATATAAAATAACTATCAAATAATTGAGCTGCAAATCATCATAGCTTCAATGTTTTTAAACTTATACGCAAGTAAATTATAATTTTAATGTTTTCAAAAATGTTTAATTCTTGCAATAGCTGCAAGGGTGTATGAACTTCGGCTTGCCGAAGTTTGCTTTCTTTCTTGTTCTGATATATGTTTTAAATATAAATAAATGAATAATATATTTTAAACATGTTTGCAAAAACGTATTGAAAACCAGAAAATGTAGCCGATATCGCGATGAGCTCACCTTTCCGTTCTGCTCCTTGGCCAAGCGGTGAAACCTCATGGCCGCGGTCACTGCAATGGCCGCGACCTCGTCTGTCTGGGAGTTCTGTCCCCCGCTGCAGCCCTTGATGATGGAACTCAGATGGTCGAGGACATCTCGCCGAGACTGGCGATCCTGCAGGCCGTTTCTGGTAATCTGCTCAAAGGTGTCGTCGAAGAAGCACTCGAAGATGTATTCCATGACCAGATGGCGGCGCAAAGTGCGCCCGTTGCACTGGTAAACTGCCCGTTCCTCTGGATTCCGGCGCCGCAATCGTTCCCTCACCCGTAAACGCAACCGTGTCCGTGACTCAGTTTCCAGCCGGAAACCGTAGAAATGTAGAAATTGTGGTATTGGCAACCAGCAGCGAACCCACACAAATTGACTTTTTAATTGACTTACAAGCCGCTGAAAAACCTGTAGCAACTGTAAAAACATATTGTATAAAACTGCAAAATTTAATTCACTAGAAGTAGGCAAATATATTCGATCGAATATCAAATTTTTCCCTCTAAGAGATTTAAATTCCGTTAAACCATAAAAAAACTACCGAACAGATGAAGCCAAAGAGCCGCAATGCACAAAAAAAGAGAGTGCTTCGAACAATTAAGGGTGAACATGGATTCTCTTTTTTTTTTGTTATTGATTTTTTCCATCTGGCAATGATGTGCTGAGAGAACTTTATAATCAAACATAAACAAACAAATAGTGAGCAAAATGCAAAATTAATTGTTGTTCTCAATTATGTAGAACTTTGCGCAAAGCAATACCACAATTTCTGCCTTTTTAGTATAAATTTTAAACACTTTTTATATAACTTTAGAAAGCACTTTAACTCTCTTCACATGCTGAGCATTCGGCAAACAGGTGTTTGATTACCAGATTTCTATGGGCACTTCAAAAACCAAATGAAGCTCAAGTGCTCCATTGAAATTGATTTGATTAGGTTTAGATAAAATGTGGATTGCTTTGAGTAATTTTCTCTCGTTTTTCCCTACCATTAATTCACCATACGAAACTTACACACAATTTTCCACCCCGCTTCAACGCTGGAAATCTAAACAAATGAAATACAAATTTGAAGAACGCTCAGCTGTTTACCTGCCTCTCTCATTCTCTTTTTGTTTTTCTACTCTCTTTTTGTAAAGAGAGCAATAAAGGTATTTTATATGCGTTTCATAAATATAAAGCCGAATTAAAATACAATTTATGCGCACATGTCACCCACATTTTCTCAGTCGTAAAGCAGTAAAATTAAAACCTTCGACGACATAAAACAACGAAATTGTAAATGTTTAAGCTTCTCTATGGCTATTTACAAAAAAATTATAATTTAATTGTTATTTATTTATAACAAATTTATTAATTTAAGAAAGTAGACATGCTGCAGTTTATTTTGGGTAATAATTTTTTTTTTCAAATTTAAAAAAGGTTTGAAATATACATTCAAATTGGTTCTGATAACCATGAGCTTATTTATAATTATATATATGTGAACATCAAATTTATATTGTTTGCTTTTGCTTGTTTACTTTATACAAAAGGAGTGTGGAGTAAAATATTCAATTAATTAATTAATAATTAATTAAATTATTTATTCAAATTCAATTAAATAAAAAAAAATGTACATCAATAATTTAACTCTTTAAATAATTACAATCAGTTTGTTTTCTATGCTTAAGCCATAACCAACAAATTGTCACTTAACAAACCACTCCAATTAAAATGTAAATTCATCTGTTGCCACGAATTTATTTCAAATTTAAAATAATAATAGGCTCATTGTTTTCATGCTTTTCTATGCCCTTTTCCCAATTACTTTTTGCTTATCCGGCACATATCAATTTACACATAAATTATTCAGGCCCTCATTCCATTATTCGCCATATTTGCACGTTTAATATTTGGGCTGACAATTAAGCGTTGGGTAAATATTTAAGCACTGCCATAAACATTAATTAAGAACGCACACAGAGAGATCTGGAGATGACGGTTGGGATTGGGATAATCATTTCTGGCACAGAGACTTTTCGCCTTAATGGCATATGCAAATAAATTTGAAGGGCATACGGATGTGTCATGTAATTAACTCGAGTCCATTAAACGGGCGATATTTGTGCTGGTTACCCAGCGAAAAACGGCAATGTTTTCACTTGATCAGAGCTCACCTGGACGCTAATTAGGAGGGCAATGCAATTGCGGCCATATGCCGGCCATCCGATGCCGCAAAGGTTGCGAGTAAATTGAATTAAATGCGTATGCAATCAGCGGTATATTGGCCGTAAATATATGGGCCCGAATAAACGCAACAGTGTGTGTGGGCTGTGGTTGGGCGCCAAGCGGAAACGGAAATGCACAAAAGGCAGGCGAAATTTTTATTCCCATATCCGTTTTGTGTGCCGCAGTAAAATCACAATAAGCGAATTTGCATAATTTCTTGCGATGCACAGGGAGATATTATAGCTGAAATTTATTGGTGTGTAGATTGAGAAAATAATGACCCCGAGATACATCATTCAGAGTGCATTATAGCAACTCAGTAACTTAAATTTAGGGCCGCACTTTAACAGTCAAACTTGTCACGTACAACACTTTCAAAAAATATTTTAAGAACTTTAAGTTGTTTTTATTACCTCTCAAAGAATAGTCCTATAGTATGATTTCATAGTGCATTTTTCGCTTCTTTTTTGATTTGTTTAATTACTGAAATAATAGTTTTAGTTAAATGTACGGTCTACCCTTTCCGCTTTTGCAGACTCCTCTGTCTGGCGATCAACCAGGATGACTCGTTCCACTTGGAGTACCGCGGACCGGTGATCATGAAGGGCAAGCCGACGCCCATGGACTGTTGGTTCCTAACGCGTGCCACGAGCAGCATTATGGGAGGCACTTCCTTGACAAGCGGAGGCGGTGGAAACGGGAGCTTAGACTCGCCGCTGCTGCAGCCAACAACACCGACGGCTGGCTGTGCCACTCCCATTGGCTCAGCCGGGCAACGGGGGGCGGCAGGACATGCCAGCGTGTCACGTACTTCGTCCGCCAGCGGGGGCACATAGGAAATGTGCAAGGACTCGTCTTGCTGCTGCTGAAACATCCTGTAAAGTTGCCACTGCGTGCGTGACTCCATCTGTCCGAATGTCTGCGGCAAAATCTGAAGGTCCTTGGACCACTTAACCACTTCATTTCTATGCCTTTGTGTTTGTCGTCCCGCATCCTGCAACCTGCATCCAGCATCCTGCATCCTGCGTCCTGCAACCCAAGTGTGTGTTCTTGACATTGTGTGATTGTTGCTGCTGGCACACTGCGGCTGGAGCTCGAGGAACGTCGGATCGTTGTGCAAGGTAATTTATGCTAATGCTCTACTATCTGCAACCATTCAAGCCAAACCAACCCATGCAGCCCAACCACTTAGCCGAGTCACTTTACAAATGATTTACATATCGTGTGTCTACACTGGGGAAACAATCATTCGGGACTTTGGCACTATTTATTTATTTATTTTTTATTTTACTCCAGATCACACAGTTAATAGTAATAATGAAGTAAGTTCAACTTTGTCAGCCAAATAAATTCTGTATTAAATTAGCTAAATGTCCAATAAATAAAAACATCCAATCAAATTAATTTTAGCTCAATTGATAGTTTTTAAAGCACTTTGCCGAGTCACCTATGAAATGATTTACATATCTTGTGACTACACTGTAAAAACAATAATTCGGGACTTTGGAACTATTATTCTTAAATAAAACTAAAACTGATCTAGAGTGAAATAAGTTTAAGCTTAAAAGCTTACTAGTTTTTATACCAGTAATACTTAATTGCAAATGTTATTCTCCGTGCACGTAATTTATTTCGCATTATCTTATGTCAACCCTTACAAATTAGCCTTCTTTGGACAAATTCTAATGCCAGCCATAAATAATATTTTGTGTCAGGACAAGTTTCAACCCGTTTTGGCCCAATCCGTTCGGCAGTAAACTAGATAAGTCCAAAACAACTCAATATAAAAGCCATAATATGCCAAATAGTTAAATATATATCTCTGTCTCTCGAACTCGAAAGGATTTTGTCAACACACCAGCCAGCGAAAGCGCAAAAGCCTTTCGTCCTGCCACGCCCCCTGCCAACCCTTCTTCCGCCCCACAGCCCAGACCACACTTTGTCCTTGAGCTGACGCTCTGCTATTTATTCTATGTGTGTGTGTATTTATTTACAAAGTTTTGGCCAACCAAGATGCAAGCAAGGAGTTCTATTTCAACCAAAAATACCGCAGAAAGGAGCAAATTCGGCTTAATCGGGGAACTGGGGGATGTGCATAGAATTTAGCACATATTTTGAAAGCAAATATTGGGCAAGAACAAACGGGCGAACATGCTCAAGGCACTGGGAATCCTAAGAATATGGCACTGCGTGGGCAGTTTTAAAATCTAAATTGCTTATTGACATTTTAAACAAACAATACGGTACAATTTAGTTTAAAATATAAAATCAATATTTTTATCTTAGATTATTATGATTTCATAATTGCATTTTGAGGTTCCTCGGAAATCACTAGTGCTTTAAAAACACTTAAAAAGGTGTCGTTTTTTTAAATAAATTCTAAGGTCTTATAGATTTCAAATATGTTGTTGCACACTCTTACACACCATTACAAAAAGGCTGCAAACCTTAGTGATTTCTGTAGCGCCCCCAAATTTATCAAAATAATCAAGTTTGATAAAAAAAATTAAGATTATATTTCTTAATTAAAACGCAATATTAAATAATGGGCTTAGAGAAATTAAATAATCATGGTTAATAGGTCATAATTTTCATCCCGCACTGACCGCAAACTTAGTTTTGCTTAACTCATTTTTAAGGATGTTACTTTCTTTACTGCATATGTTTCTAGCTACCCTCGTTTCTATTTTTGTCGAAAACTGAATATATAATGTCACAAAGGATAAAGAAATCGCATTAAAAGCCCTCTCACAAACTCATTCGAATATAAGTTAAGTAGCATGCCACAGATAAAAAAAAATGCAGGAAAATTCGGTTGCCCCAAATTTGATACTGGCGTTTTAAGTGCACACACACATATCGTATATCTGTCTATCCTTCAGTTATATATAGCATATCTCTGCTTATGGCCTCGATATAGCGCACATTATCGTTAAATGCCAGCGGCAACAACAAGTTGGCATGCAATTTGATGACTTAGAAGTTGGCAGGCATTTTGATGATGCCATTCAACTGGCAGAAAAGTGGGCGTATGTAATTCTGGAACTCTAACGATGCCTCGTTAGAAATGGATCAACATTGATTAGTTCTCAACGTCTGCACGCTGGTAAAGCCGTTTATGATTCCGATTCCCTAATTAAATGTCCCGAAATGTGGTCCAGCATTTTTAATAAATCCCAGCATTTCAGTGGATCCCTTGTCGCTCATTGAAATTCATTGGAGCCAAAAATAAAAAGTACAAAATACCCATAAAAGTTGCCTGATTTGGAGGCACAGGCACCCAAGTAATTCAGCCCGGTTTCCGTTCCCCTTCTTTCTCTTTTTTTCGTTTGCTCATAATTTTTCTCATTTTTCCTATTTAGTCTTATTTATTCTTTACATCCGCCCTGTTTTGTAAAGGAAGTTGTTTGAGGGATGCGGTGGCTGCCTTTTCCTTATTTAAGTTAGTCCACTTTAAAGGACCGCTGTGAGGGGATGCATGCATTGGCCATACAAAACCACTTCAGAGTTGCAATTATTTTTAATGAGCGGCGCCTTCGATTGCAATGCTACTTGCCTTTACAGCTACGTTCAAAGTAATATGGCATACTTAAGAAATAAATAAATGTTGATTTGTTTAATATTAATAATTTATGGACTTAAAACTATTTCTATTTGATTTGGTAATGGGCGTAATTTCTTTAATGAAGCAGCTTTAATGAGCCTGCATTTCGCCTCATCAGCTCGTCTTCAGAATCATTTATCATTCACCAGACAGATATATGTATGGATTTTGAGTGGAGCAAATTCATTCGGTCCGCAACAAAAGAGCGATTTTTCTTTACATTTC